GAATGAATTTGAGGGATAAGAATCGTCATAGGATGATATTTATCTTAAGTGCCAATTGAACAATGCCCTTAAAGATTATCTAAAATACTATGGAGTAATTAAACTAGTTGAAAACGGGAGTTATATTATCCCCAAAGAAGTCCTTCATCCAGCTAAAAATAACTTAATGATTTCATTTTATTTAGTTTAAAACACTATAAAATATACTAGAGCAGTTTCTAACTCGTGTTTTGCACGACCTTGTATACTCTTAAGTAAAATATACCGTGTATCTATAAATTTGATTACAAGATATGAAATGAAAATCGAAAAACTAAGTGAAATGTGCATTCAAGTTGATATGTTACCTCACCAATATATAAAACATATAAAAATATTTCGATAAAAGTGAAACACAAAATAAAAATGTGAATGAAATAAGAAAATGAGTTTGTAAAATAAACTATATATATATTGCCAGTTTAAATAAAAGCATAAATTTTAGTTTGAATAGAAAAATAATACTAAAATAATTTAAAAGTTTTTTTTGAAAATAGTAGTATCAATAATATAATAATGCACATGCATTTAATTTTTTTTATAGATCTTTGATTTTTCAAAGAGCAGGTCCGGTCAGATTTTGGGCAAGAACAATATATACAAGATCTTTTTAGGCCAAAGTTTGGCCCAACTCAAATATGGGATTAAATATGGAATTTATTCTTTTTTTGAATGCAGCATTTATTCTTATTTTATTATAATTATAGTAATAACAAATATTATTATTCATTCGGGTCCGGTCGGCGTATGGGCTTGAGCATAAAACCCGATTCCAGCCCAAAAACATGCAGGCCGCCATTTATAAATTCTGAGCCCGGCCCGTACCTTAAAATGGCAAGCCAAGGATGTAGTTTTGTGGATAGATTTTTGTGGACGGACTGGGAACTCGGGCCCGTGATCGGGTCTACACAAGGCCAACGCTGAAACGTGTATGCGTGTGTGATTTATATATTCATTTTTTACTTTACTTTTGAGTATCGATAATTCGATATCAATCACATAATTATATTTTATTATTTTTAAAAGGGTGGGGTTCCAGTGCCACTAGCGGTGCCACTGGCATTTTGGGGCACCTCCGGTGCTCCGTTCGCAAAATTGACGGTTTCTACCCCCGACCCACCCCCTAAACCCCCCACCCTACTCCTGCCCCTGCACCCCCACCCCAACCCCGCCGTAAGCCCCTCACAAAATGTGTGGCTATTATGCGTTGCATTTAAACAGGGTCGACCTCGAAAAGTGAAAAAGTGAAATTGACCCGGTCCGAAATTTACATTTTGGACCCTATTTTATTATTTTAGATTACTTATACTCCAAAGCTAATGAAAAATTTAAAAATATGGGGCCCTAAAATTTAGGAGATCTGTGCGGTTGACCACTTTGCATCCTCCGGACCTAAGAAAATGTGATACCATTAAAACTAAACGTCAAACTGCTCCTATACAATACTTATGTCCTTCAAGCTCAACTACTATAAGTATTGCTTATTATTTTTTCTGTAAACAAGATATTACACTTTTCCTCTACATAACCTTTCTATATAGATTTATTTCACAATTACAATAATGTGTAACTTATTGTTCATAGATAGAATTTTCCAATTTTGCACTTATTCTCGAGTCATTACCTTTCTAATCTCTTTTTGGAATTTTCCCATGGTTATAGGAGGTAAAGCTACGGCCACCACCACACCTTTTCTGTCTTCCACCCTTTTATATGGCACCAAATACCCTACCCCATAGAGAGCCGAAACAACCCCACCAAATATGGGCCTACCCCAACCCAAATCCACTTCATCAAACCCAATTTTAGTTGTGTCCATAACAAAAAAGTTGTCAAGGACTGGCCGTTTGGGCTTAAGATCTGCCAAAGACTTCACGTAATCATCGTTGACTGCGCGCTTAGCCTCCCTGATCAACTCGGCTGCGTACGAAATTGGATTCGAGCACAACATATACGCCGTGGTGGTGGCTGCAATGGGCACCATCGCATTCCCATAGTACCCGAGGGGTAGCGTGTTACTGCCTCGTAAAACCCTATCCCCTCGGACATTGACGAGAAACGTCAAGTGGACCCTAGATTTAGGGTTTGGATGGAGGGCCACGACACGACATTTCCACAGGCACGCACATAGTGCCTCGAATGTCGTGCTCGAAGGGCATTGGGCCTTGAGAGCCTGTAACTCTCTCGAACCAAATGTGAATGAGCGTTTCAACATTAGCGTTTGGAAAATCCTCTTGTTTCCAAAGAGCCAACCGAGGTGTTTTAGAAACCTCTCAACGTCTACTACGAATTTGCCGTGAAATATTCCCACACGCCAACACCTCTTGCCTTTCGATTCGTGGGACTCCTCGAACTCCCTATGTCGGGATGTTATGTCCGGGGATGGCCTTGCATTCAAGAGCTCTCTCTGCCAAATTGGCGTTATGGATGGTTCATTAGCAGACTGTCCCAACTCGCTAACTGCATTTAGGAATTGTATGAACCCTTGGACGTCCATCATAGTGTGGTTGAAACGAATGGCTAGTGCAAAACCACCACAAGTGAAACGAGTTACCTGAATAATTCACATGTTACAAATCATATCTATCCAAATCATATTGTGTACAACTATATTATATCATTTGAGAACAAGCAATTGGGTGCTTATGATTTTTTTTATATTAATTGTAACATTTTTTTTTTAAAAATACCTGAATATGAACAATAGGGCAATCATAGACTCCTTTAGAGCCAGGCACATTCATGAGGAGCTTGTCCAAGTGTGGGCATGGCAGCCGCATGCTCTCAAACCCCATCTTCTCAAGCTCCACATTAGCCTTCGCAGGGACAAACCAAACCCCTTTCCCATTACAATTCACCATGAGCTTCTTGTTCTGCCCTTCCAGAACCCGCCCGGCCAACGGGTAGTAGAGGACGAGCGCCTTGGCCACCCCTTTCTTGACCACCTCCCCGGGATCCTTCCCCCGCATTTGCTCGCTCTTCTTGTAGAACATCAGAACCGGGACTTGAACCCGGAGGCTTCCCTGGTCGTCGATGTCTGAGAGGGGCTTCAGCTCCCGCGGGGTCGGGGTTTCGGGCACGATGAGCTGGGCTTTTCCCCTTCTCACACAGAAGAGGAGCGGTGTCGTGGTTGCGGTGAAGCATGCCATTGGTTTGTTTGTTTGGGTTATTTCATGTGGATATATAGCTAGAGAGATTGAAAAAAAGTTGTCAAGAGAGGGTTTGATTTGGGAGGTAAGAAGTCCACACATGGAGGACTGATTTATGCTATGGGACACTACCACTAAAAGTACAAAAATGTTAGGGAGACACCAAAATGGTGACACTAAGCACAACTCCTAAAAATATGGCGAGTGTTAGGGAGACATCATACATTTGACACCACATGCGCACCAACGCTCACACAGACATTAAGGGTCTGTGTGAATTTTGGTGTTAATTGCTTGATGTTCGTCTACCACCACTAAAAACAAGTTGTTATGGCCTCCCTTGGGTATGGGTACTTTATTAAGGGTGTAAGTTAATATAGCACGGAGTACTCTATTTGTATTACAAAAAAAGTTTATATCCCCCTTTTTGTTCCTCTAAAAAAAATTCAACCTTTTCACTTTATAATTTATATTATTTCTCTTTTCTATGCACCGGCTTTAGCCAAAATTACATTTTTCTATTTTTACTCGCATAAATAGGAAATGATGTTGGTGTAAATTAAAAGGTGATACCATAAAAATGCTTCTTATTCACCAAAAATAATTTATTTTTTGACAAATATGTACTTGGTTTACACAAGTGATTGTAGTAATGAATAAGAGAACATGACACGAGATGCACATGGCATCTACAAAAGATTTAGATTTGTTTTGTTTTTCAAACTCACTTCATTATAATCGTGTGCTATGTCGTTGATTTTAGTATTTGACCAAACACGAGTTCATTTATGTGCTATACAATCCTAGCTAGCTTGTGAGAGCCATACATGACCCAACAATTAAATAAAAGTACGAGTAAAATATATGTTATAACAACGACAATAAATTTATTAAAACGTTACAAAAAATGAGTCTAGAACAAATATTTGCACAAAAATTAAATTAAGAAAAGGATTAATTAGACCTCATATCTTAATCACATATTCAGATGCATATAAACGGCATGATTCTAAGGCAGAATTCTAACTACCTAAACGGAACACCTAATCTTTTGTCCAAGCCCGATAAAAAGATGGAAGATTTTCGTGCTTTGACGGGTTGTTAGATTCTAACTGCATACCATCTGGTGATAATACATTGTCATGATTGATATCAGCAAGGATCTTTTGATCCGATTCAAAAGTGACCTTAAATGATATTGGGATTTTAGAACATCTACGTTCTTCCGTTTGTAAAATTAATAGTTCCCACTCTTCTTAAATCTCCTTGCCCCTTGCACCCCATCCAACCCCACCCTCCCTTATATTGATAAGGGCAACAAAAGATTTAGTAAAATTTTACAATAAAAAAAAGTGTCTAGAGAAAGTATAGGCACACAAATCATAATTAAAAAAAGGGTTAATTAGATCTCGTATCTTACTCACATATGCAGATGCATATAAACAGCCTTTTTTGGTCAAACGCCCAAACTACGGGCCTAATCTTTTGTCCAAGCACAATAAAAAGATGAAAGATAAGGGAAATAAGGAGAATCAAGAGATAGAAACCATCAATATTACGAATGTAGCATTATAGAAGCCTCAGGTCATTCAAAGATAACTTAGGCTCGCGTTAAAAGAGCATTTGTGAATTCACATAACTCTTATTTAAATTTTAAGAGATTAACGCCCCGATTGAGATAAATTTTCATTCTAGAAATAATAATAATAATAATAATAATAATAATAATAGTAGTAATAATAATAGTAACAACAAAAACAACAACAACAATAATGATAATGATAATAATAATAACAATAATAATAATAATGCACCTAAGAACAAGTTTTTACAAAGAAGAATTCAATGCTGGGCAATCACATACAAATAAAAAATATTACTGAATAATGAACCATTCTCAAACTACTAAAACGCAAACAAACATCAATGGAACAGAAACGCTGTTAGCCTATCCCAGATCTGCAGGAGAGAATCAAATCAAATCAAATCAATCTAAAAGCTACGCAGAGCAATTAAGGATGATGATGAGGATGGTGATGGTGCATCTTGAACGACGACGAATTCGGCCACCCCATGTTCCCGTATATCGGCATGCTCGGGATCGGGTGCTGCTGCTGCTGCTGGTGGCCGGCGTTGCCGTATGACGTGGGCCCCCCTCCGTTCTCGTCGGACGAAGCGCTCGACGCCTCCTCGGACTGGCTGGCGGCCTCTGCGGCTCCGGCCGCTTGGGGGGCACCGAAGTTTGCCGCGTTCGATGGCTGCGGCGGCGGCGGCGTCGATGAGGTGGGCTTGTACTTTGGCTTCTTGCCGTCGGCGATGAAACTGCCCACGATGAGCTGGCAAAGTGTGGGGCCCGCAACCCGTTAATATTAGAAATATTTGCACAAAGTAGCACTAAAACTTAAGTCATTTCCCTAAATAGCACTTAAACTTTATTCCCGAAATAGCAATTAATAATGTTCAGCGATAGCGAACATTTACTTGAATCATGACCAATAGATAATGACTAAAAGTGCTACATTGAGAAAAAAACACATGTGATGATATTTAAGAAAAGTCATTATGTTTTAATGGTATTTAAGTAAATTCCCTCTTAATATTATCCAACAAACAAAGAATATGGAGAAACCAAAGAACAAAGCAGAGCGAGCAGAGTAGACCTCATCAAAACGCGGGCTGGGCCGATGCACTATATTATGAGAATTTTCTAAGCCCAAACCCGGCCCGCATAATGGGCCCAAGATTTGAAGCCCGAGCCCAGGCCTCAAGCTTGTTATGGGCCGGGCCAACACGCAAGCCAAAAGTCCAAGCCCAAGTCTGCTTCTTTTTTTGGTTGGTTGAACGGGTACCCGAGCCCATGATCGGGTTCTACTGTTCTAGAGTGGACATAGACAATAATATACTACTATACATACCTGTACTTGTGATGCTGCCTTCATCGTTCCAGCGACCCCGCCGCCCACAACTTTGCCGTCCGCCCCGGCCAGTGACACGCTCAGGCCGCTTGGTCTGCTGCGATGACCGTCGTTTTCTGAAAACAAGAATGAGCCCGACAAGGAGATGATTTCAAACTGCCCCTGCATAAATTAAAAAAGAAAAAAAAAATCACCATTTTTCATAGTCTTACAACTCTAACATTTACTATGCATTCAAATGGTTTTCAAAAGTGCATTAGAGTGAGTAGCAAACGAATATTTCAGGGAATGTGTAGCATATAATGGAGTATTGGAGCTAAAAATGTCATTTTTGACAATGTTTTAGTTTTGGGCACATAATGGACTAAGGGTCCGTTTGGAAGGAAGAGAAACGACTTCGGGAAGTCATTTCCTATTTTATGATGTTTGGTTATACCGGAAAATAAGAATGATTTTCAAAGTCAACGGGAAATGAGCCTTACGTTTAAATGTTTCACATTTTATCACTCCGTATGTTATAACAAAAACTACTTTTTTTTCATTTTCCAAAGTTTCAACCAAACACCAATAAATGAACTTATTTTCCATATATCATTTTCCAAAAAACAATTTTCATCTTCCAAACAAATCTTAAATCAAAATGGAACATTTAACTTTCCTTGCTTTTAACATTCGATGAAGTTTTGGGGCCAAATGCAGCAATGCATCTAGGGCATGACAAACGCAATATCTGTTTTTACAGGGATAAGACTATCTGAAACAGGAAACAAACCTCTAACGTCATAGTGCCACCGCCATTTGAAGGCTGGCGGAGGGTAACATTACAAATAGCACCAATTGCAGAAAGAATGCAAACCGTTCTCGGTCCTTGCTGAGAAAATTCCATTATCTTTAAAGCTACATCCTGCAATACAATATTTTAATGCTCACATTGGATTCAAATAATATACCGAAAATTCCCAAAAAGTACTATACACACTCACACACACATAATGTATTACATAATGCAGTACATAATTGACACATTGTGGACATAGTGATATCTGAGATGTACTTGTGACATTCTTCAAATTACACGATTAATATCGGGGTTTAGGTAAATTTCATATAAATATGCAATGAATCTGTACTAATATCATGATGAAATATTATGCTTATTATAGTAATTGCCACAGATACTAAACTTAGCTCCAAACGGATGTCTCATTACAAATTATGCACTTTTCATTGAAAGAAGAATACAGAATATATACTCAGCAAATGACTAAAACACATTAATGCAATTTCCGAAATATCAACTTGTTACTAAAACACATTAATATATTCATTAGAATAAAAAAGATTTTACTAGGCCTACTTCCGCAAATATCCTCATCTTGATCATAATTAGCTTCAATTGCACAAGAGTTAAAGGTTTGGCATTTGATTTCAGGAAAGAGAGATTTGTCTATGATTGCAACGAAGCATAAAAGGTTAAATTTTTCATCAATAAGTAAAATACGAAATGTTATACGGAGTATATTATTATTATTTGCATCATGTAATAAATTTGGTTCATAAGTTTTCTTTCCACTTTTCTTAACTGTTCGTCCATAAGTTTTCTTCCCATTTCTTTTTTAGCAAATGCATTTTCTTTAAAGTTCATTTCTACCCTCACCTTTACATATTAATTACTACCTATCCTTACACGTTATTTCACTTTTTTTCAATTACCCAAGTGCAAGTATTGAAAGTCTATTTTTTTCTTTTCTTTAATTTGCATGTAAAGTCAAAGGAGGAAGATAAAAAATGAACGGTGGGGGCAGCTACTTTTGCTAGGCAATTATCGACTACATGATCCCATACAGTTTTGTGAAATGTTTTGAGCATATCACATTGTATTGTATAACACTCGTTATACATACTACATAACCTATAAACAAAAAATGTCAGACCCAAACATACCCAATAGGTAAGCTACTCAGGAGAAGGGGTGGGGGGGGATGTAGGGGCACTTAACCTGTGCCCCAAGGAGTAGAGAGTCGGATTCCAAAATGATCCCAGAAAATAGTGTCAGTGTACTGTGTAAGTAGTGTAAAGACACAAAACAAAACACGCAAGGAAGCACTAAGACAAAAAAAATATTATTCCACAAACAAGTTTTTCTGGGATAAGTATTACATCCTCTATCCTGTTGGGGTTTTCCAACTTGTTTGGACACAAAAATTGTGAAATATCAATATTGTGTGGTTTGAAGTTTGTTGAGAAGAAAGAAAAACCATATGAACTGCAAATTTCATTCCTTAAATAGAAAGTCAAAAAATGTTTTTAAAGGAACAAAGAAGGAATGTTGGAAGACTCGAGCAGGAGGGAGGGAGTGTATAGTGTATACAGTTCACCAAACTGAAAGCAAATCTTTTTAAAGATTCCACTACCAAGAAGATACATGAGTTGAGAAACATCATACAACAAAGATACAAACAGGGAAATATGTTTGATTTTATAAACAGATATAGTATCAAAAGTCGAAATTTTAATTCAAAGAGCCAACTCGGTGAACTTGCCAAGAAGTGGTAGCAAATTCCTATGCAAAGCAAACATCAAAACCTCTTTTTTAGAGTTTGAAAGTAAAAAATAAAGGCAAGATTTGTGGTTACTACTTTCCCCAACTGTTGAGATGATTGTGGTTAATCAATTTAAAGAAGTGAAATTTGCACAAAATAGGACTAAAACATAATGACTTTCCTAATGTAGGACTTAAACTTTTTTATTCCCTAAATAAGACTTAATAATGACCTAGTGGAAGGAATAATGTCCAGCAACAATGGACATTTAGTTGAATAATGACTACTTGATAATGACCAAAGGTCCTACATTGGGAAATAAAAGCATATGGTCCTATATTGGGAAAGTCATTATGTTTTAGTCTTATTTAGGTAAATTTCTCTTTAAAGAAAACAACATTCTGCATAAAAAAGGACTGTGAACAGAGTAATAGACTCTCACAGGCGGAAGATTGGTTAGAAATGGCTAAAGACTACAACTTTCTGCAAGGCAATGAAAGGAGAATAAAAATACTCAGTACTAGTTGTGATTTAAGAGGAAAAAATAACAAACAAAAAAAAGAAAACACATTTCCTTAGGTAAAAGTGTGTTTATTTATATAACATGGGCTGAATGTAGATCACCCTTATTTTCCATATTTTGCTTACTACATTAAGAAAATGCCAATTCTTTACTTATCAAATGGGAAATAATACGAATCACAGAGGAAGTCATTTAAATAAGATATGAATGAATGCAACATATATAGCACAATAACAATTTGCAGATATGACCACTCGTCTACAAGTTTATACAACATTTTACCTCTCCGGGTTCTACGGTTATTACATGGGGTGTGAAACCAATCCCAGCCGACCCTGTCCACCAAAAAACAACTCATAACATAATTAAAACTGAAAAGAATCAAAAGAATCTTTAAAAAGAACATCAAAGAAAGTAAAATGGCAGTAGGATTCAACACACCAAGAGCATCCATCTGTTTCTTTACTGAGCCAAGCGGCCTCCCACGGGCTTTCTTGGCCTGGTTCTCGGCCGAGAGAGTTTGGGCAGCTGCGCTGCTACCCGGCCCGCCCGAGTCCTGCCCGCCCATGGATGAAATTGGAGTGACCGTAGTAGGAGACAGTCCCAGAGCAATGTTGCCGTCAGGTGAATACTTCCTGGGCCGGCCCCTCTTCTTCCTGGCGGGCTCAATGCTGCTGAAACAGGGCGCGCCAGGCGAGGGGGCGTCGGAGTAATCCACCTGGGCGGGTTTCGGAGCCGTGCCCGGGCCCACGGAGGCAGGACCCGCCATGGAATTGAAAGGAAACCTAGGGTTCTGTTGCGGCTGATGCTGAGATTGCTGCTGATGGTGATGGTGAAACATCATGGCGTTGTTGGGGATGGCGGGGGCGTAGGAGTTGTGCTGCTGCGGCGGCGGCTGCACTATCTGGTGGTGGTGGTGGAACTGCGCCTGCGGGTGGTGGAGGGTCTGGTGGTGGTGGTGGTGGTGGGACAAAGGGAGTTGGGAATCTTGAGAATCCATTGCTGGGATTGTTCAAGAAAACACAAAGAAATGAATCAAACAACTGAACCTATCAGTCCCAAGAAGAAAGAAAGAGTAAAGGGGTTCTTGAAATGGCGGTGGATTTGGGGACGATTATACTGCCTGCACCCAAAAACCTAGAACTGGGGAGGAAGAAGAAGAAGAAGAAGGGGGAAGGGAAACGAGAACTCCCCTAAAAGCATCATCACTCCCTACCCTGGAAGAGTTCTAAATTCAATATGCATCTGGGGGTGAGACTTTAGAGAAATCTAATTAATTAATGATCTCAAATGTATTGGAGGATGCAACAATAAGTAGATCTATCTTTGAATCTAACAACCCTTTTTTGAGTGTTTTTTATCTACTCCTACTTCACTCAAACAAAACATGTTCACACTTTCTTCTCTCTTGAACCTTCAAAAAAATAATTTTTGATTTCATCTTTATTCAAAGAAATAAAAAGTACTTACTTAAATATTACTTTTCGTATGTCCCAATTTATAATGTCTTTTTTTATTTACGATATTTGACTAAAATTATTTTCAAATTATTTTATTTGAGAAATAATTAGAACTAAAAGATAAAAATTACTTATTAAAATATTATATTAAAAGATATACAAAACTAGTGGTGACATCAATATTTTATTTTATCAAATGACTACCGAAAAAAGAGAAAGAAAGTGAATAAAATTTGACGTTGTGATTAGTAAACATGCAGTTTAATTTGCGACGGAGGGAATAAAATATTATATTAAAAACTATACAAAAAATGAAAAAGAAAATTTTATTATATTAAATGATTAATGAAAACAATCAAGTTAAAAATAGAAAAATTGAATAATGTATTTTGGAATGAAGAGAGTAGATCCTTGATGCAAAATAGATTTTTGTTTTGTTTTGTTTTATGGTATTTTACGTGTTATTTTTATGATTTTCTATATACAAAATAAATTTCAAACACATAATATCTTTGTCCAAAAATTTCTTTTCCAATTAACTTGACACAAAGATTTAAAGTAATTAAAAATTGTAAAGAATTTTCATATTTTACCGTTAATGAAATAAAGTGAATAGTGTAGCAAAAAAGGTGTGAAGTTAACACTTTGCTAGGTTCAAGAAATTTGAGAGGAAAAGGAAAAAGAATAAGGAAAAAGTATTTTTCTTGTTTGGTTAGAGAGAGAAAGAAAAGAAAAGTAGAATAAAAAAGAAAAGAAAAAATATACGGGGGGAACCAAATCCTCCCATTTTGGTGAGGAAAATGAGAGAAAGTTTATTTTTCCTTTCAAATTTTTGAACCAAACATAGTGTAAAAGCTTTTTTCCAAAATATGAAACAAGAATTTTTTTTGGACAACCCAAAAAAGAAAGTGAAAAAAAAAAATAATAGACGGAGGGAGTATTATTTTATATTTCACCAAACATTTTTCGTTTCTTAACAATATTCTTACATTTTGTAAAGTACTAAAGTCAAACATGCAAGTTCTTTTAGTGACGAATAACGAAAAATTCACATGATTTTCTTATAGAATTACACAGTTTTATGTAAATGCTTCGAGATTTAATAAATGACATTAATACCCTCAAACTTTTCATATGTTTACATCACTGCTCCAATAATTGTAGATGTTTGTATTTGTGCTCTAAATGTTCGGAATATATACCGCACAACCGATTTTATATAAAATCACGCAATTCTTAGAATAATGATCTGATTTTTTCAAAAAAGCTAGACAACCCCAAATATAATTGGGCCTTCATTTTTGGTCTATTGTTTTGGCAAAAACTGGTTTGGACTGACCCAACTTTCAAAAACATTGGGTTGAAGATCCGGCGGGGCCAAGCCCATCTCAGACTGGTTTCCTGACTTTCCTCAATTTCTCTGCGTAATCTAAAAACTCTCTCCCCCAAATGGACATTCAAGCTCCGTGTAACGCTTGCTACTCTCTCCACGGGCGACGGGCACTTCACGCGCCGCCGCACTTCGTTAACTTCCATTTGAACTCCGCCAGACGCTGCCACAACGTGACTTCAGAGCTGCAACCACTGGGCGCCGTCGCCGCTCCAAACGCTGCCAGCTATCCCCTCTCGAAAGTTCCCGCTCACAAGGTCACCGTTCACGACCGTCAGCGCGGCGTCGTTCATGAGTTCTTCGTTCCAGAGGTATCAATTCCCGAAATTCAGATGGAAATATAGACATAATGCAGGATTATGATAGAAACTGATCACAAATTCAGCAGATGTAGCTTAGAACATTACGGTTCTATGATTATCTAGAGCTGATACAAAACAAATCACAAATTCAGAATGCTATGTATATTCATAAATGCAGGATCAGTATATATTGCATACAGCTGAGGATCAGAACATAAGCCTTCCCTTTGCTTGCAGGCACGGTAAGAATTGGGTACCTGATTATTTATTGTGGAATGCGGAGTACATATGTGTATGTGCACAACATTTTAAAACTAATACAATCAAACAGAGAGTGCTTTTGTAATTACACTGTTTTTATTTTCATCTCCATAATGATTTGTTTAGTACTTTAGGACGAGCAAGTCAAACAGTTCTTCTGTTATAGACAAGAAAATAGTCTGTGTAGTTTGGTTGACATGGAGAGGAAGCTGAATGTCACAACTTAACATTTGATTTTCCTATTGCAATTTGTAATATGATAAAATGGCATCAGTTCAACTTTTTTGTCCATCTCTAATGGAGCTAAAAGAGTTATTTTGGACAATGGTTTAGCTTCGGGTAAATGAGTAGATCAACATGACATTAAACTTTCATGGATTAGCTTCTTATTTACTATGAAGTTTTGGGAAGTAAAGGCACCAATGCTTCAACTCCATCAAGGGTCTATCGAAAACATCCTCTTGGAGTCTTAGACTCTCAGTAAAAGGCTTTACATTCCATATGGAGATTAATGTTCTAAGTCAAAACACGTACGAAGTAGAAATCTGGTGAAGGCGCTCCTACAACCCCTTGAGAAGAACAAAAAGTGAAAAACAAAGCAATTAGGGAATGCTGTTTAGTTTGTCATTATTACTTTAGAATTGAAAGGACTCTCCAACAAATACAGAAGCATTATAAAATATGTTTTCTGCTTCCCAGCTTTATTTTTGTCTTATGAAATATGAAATTGAGACTTTCTTCCTTTTCTAATTCCTGCTTATGTTATGGAGATTTTAATGTCTGGTAAATACTTGGTAATTATGTCTAAGTTAATTATCTGGTATGCCAAAGGATGTTGTACTAGCTGTGCTGTACGTGTAAAATCCGGGCAAATACGACAGGCAGAAGCATTGGGGATTTCAAATGAACTGAAAGCAAAGGTATTGTTCATTTTCTTCTACTTGAATGGATTAAGTCTTACTTGTTATTATCTTACCTTACCCTACTTTACATGCTTCCTCAGTTTTATTTTTGTTTAGTATTGTGGAGTCTAGCAGGTGGCTTTTCTTAGCACAACATGTTGGGTGTTAGGAGAGCGAGAACTTGAAAAGAAAGGGATTTTAGAATAAGTGTAAATGTATTTACAGAATTCAACAAAAACATAACACAAATACCAACAACAACAACCCAGTCGGATCCCACGAGAGTAGGGTCTGGGGAGGATGTGTGTGCACAGACCTTGCCCCTACTCTAGAGTAGAGAGGCTGTTTCCAAGAGACCTCTAGCTCAAACAGCAAAGATAAAAATGAGATCACGAAGGACATGTTTAGCAGAGATAGCAAAAAGCACACAGAGGCCTAGAAAAAACTAATTAACAAAACAAAAACACATCATCAAATAAAAGAATAAAAGGGAGTAATATAATATTCCACATTTTTTTGTATCTAAGCGTAACTGCATAAGTTCTTATTATATCCTTTTTAAATGCTGAAAATCACAAATATCTTTTAAAGAGATTCAAACTATATGTGATTCAACAATCCTCTGACCCAGCCAATTAATCTTACAACTAAGCATCCAAACTTGCAAAGAAAAAAGAGAGAAGCAATTGGACCCTTTTCACTAGTAGCATATGACCTTTAGGCCACTTCCACATCAACCATTCACCCTTAAATCATCCCACATAACCGTAATCCCCTCAAACTCATCGTCTTTATAATCTACTCCATCCATCCCTTATATGGTCATCCCTCTTTTTGGACGCCCTAATTAATCTTTCCCTCTCCGTTTAAGGGAAGAATTGTGTGCTTCAAATGACTTCTTTGTCCGCTTCATAGCTCCCTTTCTTATCGTGTTTTCTTTCTTATATTTGTCACATTCTTTGATTTCCCTGTCAATTCTCCATTTCTTTTTTGCTACTTTTCTTTGGTCATCTTCACCGGTCACCGCACTCTTTATGGCTTAGGAGAATACCATTAATGGCAGTTGGGAGACGTACCCTGATTGATCTAATACATTTTTGGGCTCACTCTCAGACCCCCATTGATAGAGGTTAGGGGACCTACTCCAGTTCTCTTGTCTGATGGCACCAGTGACACCCTCACCCTCTTGACCACCTTTGAAGGTAGGCTTGGCAGCTGGGAGATTTACTTTGATTGAGTGGCTTTTCATGCATCTAGAGTTTAAGATGCTGTTATAAAGTTGTTGGGGTCATCAACAGCTTCACCACTGGATGCTTTATTAACAGTAATGTGACACTGATCCTATAGCCATTTTCCTTGTTCTCTTTATTACTGGTGACACTGGTCTTTGCATTACTCCGGCCCATGTTAGCTTGTTTGTATGGTTGAGTGTACTCTGGAACAGCCAAGACATTTGAAACAATTAATGCATTCCTGGGCTCTTTAAATGCGTTATAGACTTCACTTGTCCATAAGACTATAAGAGTGCTTCTTCCTGAAGTATGTCAGTCAGTGGCAGCTGAATTTTACTGGTTAAGCTGTAACAAAGCTGTCTAGACAGTACACCAGGGGCATTTTAGGCTCTTGTGGTATCATTAATCCTTCACCCCCCATCTATGACATGAGTTGGCATTGCTACAACAATGGTTCAAGATGAGGTATTTCAATCTTGTTTGGTCAGATTGATCAGCGACTGCTTAGAATCAGAGATCGCAATCAATCTTCAAGGATCGCAAACACGATTTAATCGACCAAGGATCTTGAATGCTCAAATTTGAAGGCAATTGATTTGATTGGAGCTCAACAACAACAACAACAACAAAGCCTTATCCCACTAGGTGGGGTCGGCTACATGGATCAAACGATGCCATTGCGCCCTATCGTGTATCATATCTGCTGTGAGATTGTTCACGCAAAGGTCTCCCTTGATCAATGCTTGCCAAGTCCTCTAGGTCTATCTCTTCCTCCGGCGACATGCCTATTCACCATTTGATCAACCCTTCTCACGGGATGCTCTATTGGTCTTCTCTCCACATGTCCAAACCACCTAAGACGATTTTCCACCATTTTTCCTACAATAGGTGTCACTCCAACTTTAGCTCTGATATCTTCATTCCTTATTCTATCCATACGAAGAGAAAAAAATTCCGATCTAGAATCAAACCGCTTCGATACCAATGATACAATCTCCTAGGAAGCTGTTCAGATTGTGAAGAAGGAGAGCTTCAAAAGAGGTTGTACATCAATTATTGGAGGTTTGAAACAGAGATGTGTGAGAGAGGTAAGGGTTGAACTGTTGAAGACGAAGATATTATCCTATTTATTTGATATTGAGAGCACTGGGGTACAAGCTTATATAGCCACACCAGATTAACAATCACGTGCGACAAAATAACAAATTCTAACCACTTGTAACTAACTAATTAATCGCCTGTATCAAAAGCATAGCATTATAGCCCAAGTTTGTGCCCCGTTATGGCATGAAATACCCAGTAACTATCTTGATGGGGGTGTTCATGGGAATGAAGCCAGCAAGGTAAGCCTTGTCAGTCCATTGAATATTACGGCATCTAAAATGCAAATATTTGTGTATATGGTTAAACTTTTTCTTAAGGAAAGATAATCTTATACTCCGTAATAAATTGCGGGCACATTGAAGCACACCTTGTATTGGTAGACATTCATATTGACAGTGTGTGCGGGCATGAAAAGTGAAAACAGACAATTGCTTGAATAACTTTTTTGCAGTCCAATATTCTTGTTTGTGTGGGAATCAATTTCGCACAATTGACATCAGCATTTGAGATGCTCTTACTCCTGACCTTTGCAAGAGTCATTAACTGCTCTTTGGGATGCTTTACAAGTCCTACGTATACATCACCAAACGTGGTGGAGGGTGTTGAATATATAATCCCACATATTCCCTTTGTGTGTGTGTGTGTTTAATTCTTCTAAGTTTTTACAGGCGTAATTACATCCTTGTTTTCTGCTTTGCAATCTTATTATTGGTGATTTTGTCATAATGTGTTCTTCATAAGCTGTAGGGTTATGCACTTCTGTGTGTGGGGTTTCCATTAACTGACCTTGAAGTTGAAACTCAAGATGAGGATGAGGTAACTCATACTCGAAACGATCTCTCGTGTTTTTGCCCATATATTTGTTAAATGGCTGACCTACTCAGGGGCAATGCTGTCATAAATATAAGATCTTGTCAACAACTTAAGCTTGTAGTTGATATGGAATGCGTACTTGATGAATGCTCTCATTTTTGTTTCATTTTTCTAGTCTCGTGTCATGTTTATTTTCTGATTTTGTGATATGAGAGACTTGCAGGTATATTGGCTCCAATTCGGAAGATATTTTGCCCGTGGATCTATTGTGAGTAAACATTTTCCTGAACAGATTTGAAAAATTAGTTAGCAAAAAGCAAAAATATACTCCCGCCCTCCCACCATTTTTGTCCCTTTTCTACCTTTTATGTCTATCCTACATTTTTTCTATTATACTTCTTCCATCATGTAAAACTTTTCTACTTTCTCATCTTACATGTCCATAAAACATTTCAATTTGGCCTAAATGGACAAAATTGCCCTTTTCTTATATCTAACCAAACTTACCCTATCTACCTTCTACGCCCAACTTATTTTGACACTTCTTGAGCCCTACTCTTTTCAATTGTTGTCATTTCATTTTGGTCAAAGTTCTACCGCTTCCCCTTCCAAAAATCAAAACATAAAATATTTTGCAGGATGGAAGAACAATCATATTTGGTCATTCTTATGTTACATTTTGACATCAATATCAATCACATAGTCTTATTTTTCTTGACTCAAAAATAGTGGGATGGAGGGAATTATACTACTCCATCCGTTTATTAAAAAAGTTGCACCTTTATTTTTTGTGCGGTCCACAAAATACTTATACCCCACCTAAAATGTCTAATTGTGCACCCTATTTCTTCTTAATTGCAGATAATTGTTTTGGGGGTATTTTTAGACATTTTAAATGAGGTAGAAGTATTTTGTAGGATGCAATTGAAAAAAATGTAGTGAGTATATTGAAGTAAAATTAGAAGATTTATTGCATGTGTTTGGTATGGGTAGGAAAGAGATGATTATGCCTTGGAATTAGCTATGGGAGATGAGTGAAAAGTGATCTAGAGGACCGAGGAGTTCAAGTGATCAAGTATGACAAGTTCTCTTTCCCTTGCATTCTCATGTATCTACTTACTTTTATTATAAATGGTAATGTAATTTAACTAAAAATAGTAATGTATTTTAATAAAAAAAATCATTTCAATAGATTTATCTTGTTGAAAACTACTTAAACTTTTAATTTATTATATTAATATGCAAAATAAATTTAGAGTAATTGATGAATAACTTTTTTGGCAACAAAATACCCATAATGCGATTTATTGAATATGCATACTTCAATTTCATTACAAAAAATATGAAATCAAGCGGAAAATAGGTACAGTATATTTGGTTTTCCGTACTAGGTATTATTCACCTTTTGTCCAAGAAAGTGTCATTAATGGATTGCTGAAGAATGCAATTTAGAAAAAACCACATGTTTTGTTTCACAAATGTCACACATGACAAGCATACATACTAACGCGCATTTGTCTATATGAGTATTGAATTATATTTATTTCTTGGGACAAAATATGGTAGAGATCTTTATATTATCTAAAAATATTCAAATTAGTCCATGTATCTAAAGTTAAATTAATTAAGTCCCTTGCATTCTCTGCTATTTGAATTCATCCCCCGACGAGTTGAGGTCGATTGACTATCAAATGAAGGGTCTACCAGCTCATCGAGTACCAACAAGTCTTGAAGAGTTTGGTTTGTTTCAACCCTGATCCTCCGATGTCCCACCCAATGCTAAATTTGAGACTCTTCAGTAGAATTATGTTGACGTCCAAGAACTTCAAAAATTCCTTTTCTGATCGGGAGTAGAGGTGAATTGCCTTCGTGAGAATATCCTCGGTGTTGGACCATGGCCACATCTTCTAAATATGGAATATATGCCACAGAACTTTTGAATTTCCTGGTACTTGGGAAAACAAACACAACCCACATCGTGCAAAGAAGAGAAAGAGAACCTAAATATATATAGTTACTCAACCCTATTAGTATGAGGTTTTTTGGGAGGTGCCTAAAAAGAAATTTGTGAGGTAATGGCCCAGAGCGGATACTATCATACTAATGCATGTTGGGGTGAGGGAACACATGGTCCCAACATGTGGTATCGAAGCCCAGTTCGTGTGGGTCGGAGTGGCAGACTGTATTATGCAGAGTTTATGGGGTACCCTAGTATGACAACCTGACCAAAGGTTTGTAGACGGTGCCTTGTATCGAAAGTCTTCCTGATAAGTGGTGGTCGATCGGACGGCGTGTCCCGTTTAGTGTTAACGATAGTACAAGATGATTTGACAGATCAAATGGTTTGACCTTAGCGGATTGTTGGTCTGCGGTATACCTTGTGTCGAAAGTCTTCTCGAAAAAAGAATGTCGGGTGGCGTGTCCCGCAAGTGTGTAACGGAGTGCAAGATGGTGTGCACATCAAATGGATAATTAGTGAAGGGTAGGTCACGAGATTGTGTGGTCCTAGTTTGAGGGAGCTTAGTTGGGAAAACAAACTTGTCTCACACCATGCAAAGAAGAGAAGGAGAACTTAAATATGTATTGTTATCCAACCACATTAGTATGAGGCCTTTTTGGAGGCGCGCAAAAATAAATCCGTGAGGGCATGACCTAGAACAAACAATATCATACTAATGCGGGGTTGGAGTGAAAGGATGTGTGTCCCAACACTGGTGTACCTGCCCCCTCAGTATTTTGGAAGCATGTCGTATGCACCACTACTTCTACTTCCATCCCGACTCCTGTCCTATAATAAATGTCCACCACGCGACCCTGTAAGACCTGCAGTGCTGCGAGTTTTTTTGGATAAATCTACTTATACCCCCTAGATTATACCTTAAAGTGTACCTAAACTCTTTTCAATTACATTTTGCATTAAAGTTAGTGTGAGATTGATAAATTACATTAACACAAAATGTCAGCACAAAATTCTGCAATCATACTAATATTTTTTTTTATTAATATAAGCCATTAAAATATAAGTGCAAAATATAGTAGTGCATTTTGTCTACACTTTTTAGGTACACCTAGCTTTTTTTTAAACATTCCAAATGTTTATTACTCTCGGAGCAAGTGTCTTGGATTTTTGGGGACGAAAATGCCAATACCATATTACCATAGTGTCCGATCCATCCGCACATATATGTACCAAACATGCACACAAGTCAAAATGTAGTAGAATCATCTCTATCAATTAATTACCCCACTCTCCATCAAGCATTATGGTCTTCCTAATGATCCGAATTGAATGAAGGTGTGTGATAAAAGAACTGAACAACGAAAACGAAAGAGAATACCTGAAACTGTAAATCAGGTAGGAAAACCTAAAATGAAAAAAAAGGCCCAAAAAAGTATGATTTTGATGGGCTAAACATTATAATTTGGGGTTGAAGATGGATTCCAATGGGTTTCAGGCTCCTAGGCGTCTTGTTGAGAGCTTTTCAAAAAGGGGTAATTTACTTGAATCGGGCACTCGTAGCCAAAGTTATGACCCAAACAATGTGGCGGCCCTTTATGGTAAAGAAGCATCTAATTAGTCGAATTTGACAACAATTCAACCTCGTGTGAATCACTTGCTCCTCCATCACCTGCTCTCAACAAACTCTCCAGTTGTTCATTCTGATGTTGTGTTGTTGTTGTTGCTCATCCAACCCAAACAATGTCTCCTCTGAACTTCACCTCCTTCCGATTGTTGTATCCCAATGCACTCTTTCCCTTAGCAATAGCCCTACTGTGTAAGATTAGGACGCCGGGAAAGGCCACCAAAGGGCGAGCAACTGACTGGTTTTAATTTCCTCCAAGGCTTGAGATAGTGCTTGAACACCACCATACACCGCACTCCTGACGGTGTCGTCCAAAGCTGTGCGGAACAGGCAAAGACTGACCTCTGTTCTTCCCACGGCATGGATCCTTTTAATTTCTCCTGCCTCCCCACTCTTTCTCCCAAGTCTATTGATACATTTTTTTATTTATAAATAGAACCGGGTGGTGTTGGGATGTTGTGACGGTGTGTGGATCATTCTCCGGTGATGCTGACAAGCCTCATCCCGTCAGAAGTCTCCACTACACGGGCGCAGGGGTTTTCACGCTGTTGTCGAGGACTTGATGGCGAGGGGAGGGGGGGATGAAAAATGCCTGTAACTTCCTTCTCGCCAAAGGTTCGTCGGGCGGGCTCGGGGTCATGGTGCATTGTAACCGCTTCTGGTGCCTGTTCTCTGGGAACGTCAGGGTGAAGTGTGACGCTGACAGTTCCCTCTTCCTCTGTGTCTGAGACCCCCCTCGTGTGAAATTCTTCGACGACATCTTCAGGCAACGTTGTCGGCGTGTACCGTTTGCAGAATGCGTTGTTTGGGCAGTGCACTTCCAGGATAGGCGTGAGGGGGTGCTTCTTCCTATTTCGGTATATCGAATCACCGTTCTCCATCTTGAGCTCGATGTTTGACTCATTCTAGCTGTTGCACAATAATATCATAAACCAGACGATTTGCCAATAATTATTAAGATAACACCTAAATAATATTCATGAAATAATTAATGACAAATAGCTAATGGCATGTTTTTTCACATCAACTAATTAAAATCATTTATTGAAATTGATGTCCCCTCCTCAAACTCTACGGGGCATTGAAATAAAGGGCTATTTTGCCGTGTCTATGAGATGGACATTAGTCCCTCGATCAAAGAACCAATTGACCACCACCGCACTCTCAAAAGACTTGGACTTTTGCCTAGGAAACATTCGCCTTTTGTACCAAAATGTGCATGAAGAGGGATATCCCCCCCTCCTTGTGGCTGATTGAGGGGTATATCCAGAGGTCCGTTGGATGTCTCTGGGAAGTCGTTGACTCCTCATGCCTCTCAGTTGCATTTTTTATATTCATAATCCGACCCCCCCTTGGTTGGGCAAGGGGCTCTAGGGGCGGATCTACATGTATGAATACGGGGGCAATCACCCCAGCCAATTTTTTTTACTCCATAATATACAGTATTAAAATAATTTTTTTTTGTAGAGAATTAAAAGAACGACCTCGGTAAAAAAATGGTTTGCCCCCCACTGACAAAAGAAAATCTTAGTTTAATAGTAAAAAATAACCACTTAAAAATATATACAGGTAAAATATTTGAAATATCATAATTATATTATGTCATGATATATTTTAATTTGGCAAAATTGACAAGAATACTTTCAGAAATTACAGATTTTACATAAATACTCCCAAATTTGTTTCTTTACATCATTACTCCCACATTATTCTTTTATTTACATCATTGCTCCCAAATTTGGTAGTGAACATTAGTGTTACTTGAATGCGTTTTTTTTGCGATAAGTGAGCAGTTAAAATGCAGATATGTATTTTTTTCACTATAATATAACAAATTCACCTCAAATTATTCTCTCCATCGACTTTCTCACGTCTTAGTAAGTCTAATCATTGCCCTTATTTCCATCACTTTTTAAAAAAAATTTAGATTTCAAACTTCCTAAATGTTTTTAATGTTTAATATCAAGTGTGTTCATATTAATTTAATTTGAATTCAATAAAAAAACGATGAAGAACCCCGTTTAAAAAGACGCATCCGAGGAACACTGACGATGAAGCAATCGCGGAGTAATGACGTAAATAACAGACAAATGTGGGAGTAACTATGTAAATAAATAAATTTGGGAGTATTTATGTAAAAACGGAAATTTCTGGGAGTATTCATGTGAATTTTGCCTTTTATTTTTTATTTTTCCACTTTAAAAGTATTTGTTTATTTGACTACTTGTTTGAAATTAAATTTATTTATTTTTTATCATTGTCAAGCGTTTTAAAAAAAAAATGGGAATGTCACCCCTTAACCCCACCATACTCTTTAGTGTGTATTTGCCTCCAGTCATATTATTTTCTAGATCCGCCAGTGAGGGGGTCTATTTATACAATCAGATCTCATTTATTATACGGAGTATTTGTCTTTTTTCTATGACGTACCACTTTCTAATGACTCGTTGACCACGTCGATGACACTTCGCCTTCTGATGACATCTTTAGCTTTTGACTAGGGGTGAGCATGGTACGGTATGGTACGGTATTTAGCTCGTACCGATACCGTACCAAATATTTCGGTTCGGTATGAGATTTTACTCCGTACCGATCCCGATCCCGAAATATCGGTTCGGTATGGTTCGGGATGGTTCGGTATCGGTTTCGGTACAACTCGGGATGAATATACATACCTACTT